ATATTAACGACATGTATCACTGGCGGATCCAGGCTGAGCCATGCCCCCCCTCCCAAAAAGACCTAGAGCTTTCGTTTACCATCATTTATTTGGCAAAATTGATTTACATATTTATGTTCTAATTCTGTAATTATTTAAACAATATTGTACTGTATATCTACAGTGCATAAATAATATACAATATAATAACAAATGTTTATGATATAACAAAAATCTACCCCCCCCCCAAATGATCGGCTGGATCAGCCACTGCTTTTACATGAAGCCCTAACAAAGGTTTCTCAAAAAATTGCTCCAAATTTTGATTGATTTTGACTTGGATAACGTAAAGAACGCTTAAGAGAATGTTGCCGGACTCAGTTTCGTTAAAATCCTTTATTTTTCGAAAATTGCGAGAGTTCATATTTTTTTGGCGTTTCCTACAACTACAATATTGAATTCAATAGATGCCTTATTTTACGTGTCGAGACTCGGGCCATCAGGCCCGCTCTTCCGTCTGACCACGCTCCTTTCACCAACTATCGGAAAAAGGAGGTATTTCTTGGGCGACGAACAGGCGATTTGAATTTAGCTCAGAGGCATCATTTAGGCTTAAGGATCTTTGACATACCAGTAAATCTACTAACATGGGACAGCCGGCTTTACTTCACCTCCGAAGGAAGGCGTACGAAGGATTTTTTCGCCCTTAAAAATGCCCGGCTTCGATCGGGTTAACTCGGGCATAACAGCCCGATACGCTAACCGTTACACCACCGCCATCGCAAAGTTAAATTGAAGTCAGAAATTTTTTCCTTATTAAAATGTTTTTTAAACACATCGCGAAATAACGATACGTACAATTTTTCGAAGATAGTGGTTTTCCCGCAATTTTGTGTGGAATTTAGGTAACTTTTAAACGCTTCCTTCTTTAAAAAATAGATCTTTTTTATTGGCGTTTTTAGATTTTTACTTAAATCAAATTCGTACTAAAAAATCAAATCTTTAGAAAAGGCCACACAAAAAAAAGTAGTTTGCATTAATTTAAACCATAAATTACACGAAATTTATAAAATACTCAAAAACCGCTCCAAATTTTTTCTTTAAATTTTCCCCAGGGATAAAACTAGGGACGCTTAAAATAATGGCCTAGGTTTATTTTTCATTGAACTCTGAATTTTCGAAAATTGGGTGTTGGAAATAATGAGATATACATTTAGATTTTCATCACCAGCCAGTACCATCACCACCAGTGAGTATAGCAGGGAGACTGAGTGGTGTAGCAGTGAAGTGCACATTTAATTCAAGGGACCCCGAGTCTTTCTTTCAGTTATTTTTTTTTTTTAATAGTTACAAATTGCGTTGTTATGCATATTGTTTGGAGTATTGTACATTCTTTGCTAGGCCCCAGCCACTGTCAATTTTTCTTTTCTTTTTTGATTTTGCGATTTTTCTTTTGTAAAATTAAGTTGTTTTACATCTACATTCACCCACACATTATGTAACTTATAATTTATTGTATTTATAATTTTAATCACCCTTTAAATTGGATATAAAATGCACAATTTGTTGTGGTTTCATCACCAGCGATTGATAACTTTCTCAAACACACATTTCAAATTTTATCACCAAATAAGTTCACTTTGAAATGTTAACATCTCCAAGATATTACTATAATGAATCATCTTTTCAAAGAACTGAAAATATAGACCCACTTTTATGAAATGGTGCAGGCTGGTGATAGTAATAAAGGTGCTTGTTGAAGCAAAGCTCAAGATTCTTAATTAAATTCTGTTGAATAAAATCGAAACACCTTACTCATGAAATCTATACATTATTTCCAAACTCACACTGAGAAAATTTCCTCCACACATCTTTATTAATTCAAAATAGTTGTGATACTGCTAACCTAACTGGACGATATAAGTAACTATAACATGAGTTGGGCAACCACATCAAATCAATGTTCAAAAAAGTATGAAAATTAACTGAAAATCATTGTTTGAAAAAAAGTGGTTTGTATTACTTGTAAATGCTCAACACTAAAATTCCAAGAATTAAATTTTATGGAAAATCTATGCTTTACAACTTAATAATACAAAATTGTACATTGAATATATGTGACACTACATACCAACTATACATCATGGTTCCTGGGTGAATTTCAGAGAATAGTAAAAAAATGACTAAATCCATACACAATTACAAATATGACAAAATTAAGTTTAGTTTTAAATCACTTCAATATGAACCTGTACACACACTTATAACCACATACTGTATGTGTTTTTGGTCAAACTTGACAATTTTGTATCTCTCTTTAGAAAATTGTGAGTAAAATATTTTGGTAAAATCAACTTTATTGATCTTTGAAAAACAAAAACAAATTGTATTGGTATTTACAAACATGTTTTTAAATATGTTATATAATTTATAACAATGTATTTCAAATTATTAATAAACAAAATGTCTAGTCAGTCCATCAGTCTAATTCATAATTCCATGGCTACATTGTATAAGAAATCTCTTTCTTCAGTTCAGCACCATAAAATATTCATTTCTCTTTAGACATAAAATCCATACTCCCACAAAACAGTCCTGAACTAACTACGCACATTTCAGGAAATTGAAAACAAAATTAAAGCAATGTTTAAGAAATAGCAATGGTGGTTATCAAAGAATCACCAGAAGAACATCAGTGGTACAAGCAACTCTTAAACACTTATCTGAGCGTTAACCATTGAAGAAAATTTGATGAGAACATTTCACATGTAATAACCCTAGAATACTAACTATGCATACTACAGTTTCATTAGTTACATTTCTGAAATTCACTGCCATTGAAAGTTGTGTGCCTGGCAGTGTTTGCTAAATAGTTTTGAGATGCCTGTGATAGTAAATTTTCTATTGATTGCATAAGGTTTTGGTGTAATCACTACACTATACTATCAACATATAATTTAATTCTATTCCATTTGTGTATAATACATGCATCCTTAGCTCTTGAATACTAGTGTTGAAGTTTACCGGTTGCTAGCGATGAGTAAAATTTACTCACTTCAGAAGTGAACAATTTCTAGAAGGGAAAGGTTGTAATTAATTATAATATCACTAGACAACTTTATTACAACACTCCAGAAATACTAATTAAACATTGAAGCTATTTTTAGATTACTGCTTAACAACTATTTTAAGCGACTAGCTATCAGTTTCCCACAGTATCAGGCACCTTAATACTAGAGTTGAGAGTACATTTACTCTTGCTTACTGTACGAAAACAAATACAATAACACTGAAATTACATGAACATCTAATGAGTAAATATTCGACTTGGGGATGGACTCTCAGCCTCCCATGACAGGAATGCCACTAAGTAAATTTTACTCACCACTAGTATTCCAGGGTTAGTATTGGTGAACATCTCTCAACACATTTTACAGATTCGGAATTCCTTTATACTAAGAGAATTTCTAACAAAAATTTAGAATTCATATATTTTATATGAACGTAGTGTGTTGCTATACGTTCACAATGAAGGAAAAGATGAAATCAACAATAGGGGACAAATAAAACATCGTAGATAACTTTGATATGGAAGCTGGTTAATTAGAAATAAAGCGCGGATAACCTCAAGAAATTGTGGAATTTTGACAACAGTGAATTTTGACAACTTCATTCTTGCATACGAACACAAATTTCCCAGTCATGTCACTGTAATAATATTGCCTTTCTGATACTGTACTGCAATTGAATTGATGAGGAGGAGGATTTTGTCGTTGCTTTGTAAAGATGTTTATTAAGTAAATATTAAATGCAACACCAATTTATGTAAAACTCTATGAGAAAATTTCCATTAAAACATTTATTGTGTATGTAAATTTGATGTAGAGTTAGTATTTAGCATGAGTAAATAAGCATTAGTATTCTAGGGTTAACAAGATTTTCTTGCACAGCTATTGAAATAAGGCACACACTGCATGCAGTAATCACAAGTGACTCTTACCAGTTAATATATTATTTTCAGTAATAAAATTTACTGTAAAGACAAATATTATTTTTAAAATTGCTACCTCAACTTTCCTTTGAAATTAAATATTTTACACAAACACACTTCAAGACCCCCTGAATGTTGTTAATAATAATAATAATAATTTTAATTTCCATGAAATTTATATCACCAATTAAGACATTTTGCTTTTAGTAAATGTCTGATAACCTTTAACCTTTTATCACATATTAACTGACAGGAGGTAATTTAAAACTCAATTAGTAGGTAAAAATGCTTCTTTAAAACAGAAACATGAAATGAAACACGGTCAACATATGCAACACTCACACTCGGCAGTACCATACTGTCACAATGCAACACTTCAGTTAGAATTAATATAATAATTTTAGCTTGTTTACAGAGCATAATATGCACATTATCACCCCCCCCCTGCCAAAAAAAGATGCTTGAACACTGAACCAGTCATCACCTATTGAGCATTTAAAAATAGATCACAATTTATTCCTTCCAATATTTAGAAGACATGCCTCTAAATAATTTTAATGCACACAGTAAATGCAGACTGTGTTGTAATTTCATAAATGATTTCCAGCAGCTCCTCGCATTATTACTAGCCGCCTGTAGACTACACTAACATATAGTCCAATAAGAAATATCACAAAGAGATCATCAAGTAATCCTAACAGACCAAACACTGCCTCTGGTATAATATCCAAAGGTGATAAAATGTACACTACAGCTGCAATAACACACAAACTGATGGGAGCACGAGTTACATACATAAGCCCATTAATAGAAAAAAGCTCATTCCATAGATGTCGCATAGTTGTGGGCCAGTCAAGGATTACTTGCACTAACTGTAAAAAAAACAAAAACATACAGTGAGTGTCCCAAAAATATCAGAAAAAAATTGCTATTGTATACCTACACACACAATCATTGTATACATTCAAATGTAATTTCATCTTGGACAAATGAACTGACTACTAAAGAATAAAAAGCTGCAAGAAAATGTCATTACTAAATCACACTTCCCAACAAACAGTCATATTTCTTAAATCTACAGAATATGAGGCTCAGCTGAACAACACTTACTGTCCTACGAATAAGTAAACATCTTTGATTATATTCATCAACAAATGTGTAAATAATTTGTCTTGTTTCTTCTAAGGAAGCATCTTCCTTCTCAGCATTTGTAAACATAATAAACAGCATATTGACCTAAACAAAAAACAGAAGTAAGTAATCACACATCACAACTACTAAGAGTATCAATTGGCTACTAACATAAAATATTTAAATGATCTTACATTGCTTCGACAAAGCGGGCATGTCATCACAGTAACATTTGAAATTTCGTAATACTGACGAATACAAATTCCTGCAAAATAAAACTTAATTTAACTAAACTGACATTTTTAGAACAAAAATTGACTAATTTATATAAAATACAACATACCACAAAAGAGATGCCCACAATTTGTTTCTGCTGGTAATATGTGTTCACCTAAGCATATTGGACATGTGTCTCTATTGAACACAGCTGGCACCTCCACTACCAGGAAGAGAAAATGTCAGTGAAACAGTATAATTTAAAAGAAACAATACAGTAAAGACAGTACCAACCATTTTCTGCTTGACCATTGTCCACACTTTGTACACTTGTCTGAGGTCTACTGCAAGAAGAATAAATACATTTATTAACAATGTTATTGATTGCCTATGATAGATTTTACTTAATCAGGTTCCACTTTATAATAAACCAGATGTCTTTAATAAAGTGGAACCTAGTTAATAAGAATAAATACAACTAAAAGATAACCATATGCCAGAAAAACAATTCTTTCCACAAATCTAAAAGCTTCAAAATCATTATCTCTCAATTATTGCTTTCATGGGTTCTTCTAAATGTAAGAAACCTAGAAAAATAAACAATACTTTACCTTCTGGAGGACCTGCATACTAATACCAATAACGTAAATGCAGCCACCAAGACACATGCTATAAACGCAATAACCTCATTTCCAACTCCTGGTATAAACTGATCGCTCATAATTGCGAGATGAGTTAAGTAATAATATTCTAGAGAACAGTCAACCGCTTCAAAGAATCTTCATCCTATGAAAACGGGGATCTCGTCATATAACTCGTAAAATTGACCAATAAGGATAACGATTATGACATTTACGGATAAGAGCTTGTCTCTTTATACATCACAAGAATTTTACTACTGTAACTACTGTCACCCAATGGTTTTGTATTTTTTTTTAATATTTACAAACACTTGATCCACAGACACCCCAGAAAGATCAAAACAAGAACGTACAGGGCTTCCAACAATCACTGTATTATTTTGCGGTCGCGACTTTTAACAGCGCGCTATGGTGCAATAAGTAATCTATTTAACGTTGGAGTTTGTTATTATAAAAATAACGATTAAATAGATATAACATTGAAACAAGAGAACCCAGAGCAGGACCACACAGAGACTGCGCGCGCTGGGTGTCAAAGTTCCGTCAACTGATTCCGAACACGAGAGGCGATCTCGCCAACCATAAAACACTAAATTTCTCAAATACGTAAATCGGGTATGCTGTATATTACGCATGTGGTATGTAATGAATTCGTGTACTTGGGTATCAGTTTTATTTTCATTACTCCTCACTATACGTCGCCCACAATATAGGCCTAAATTGATTTTGTGACACAATTGTGAATAAAAAACAAATTTTATTTAGGAATAACAAAACATGGTAAAAGTAGTCATAAAGACTTGCGAAAAATGGATGAAAAATGAAGAGAATACATGTTCACGTTTCACTTTTCAATGAGGGGCAGTAGCGAATTTGGGGAGGGGGAGAGAACATAGGCAAAGCCTCCTCCCCACTAATTCAACATTTTTTGTGTGTAAATTTACTCAATGTATTAAAGATAGTTATCGCAATGCATGTAATGAACAAGATCTGTAGCTGGAATCCAGTGAGCACCGGGTGAAGATGACGGCCTGAAAATAATGGAAAGATGGTGCTATCAAGGACATCAGTAAAATAAAGATTGAAAATTGGATCTAGCACTCGAACAATAGGGGAAAATGGAAAATGATAGTTGAGATGGTCATTTGAAGGTCGTTGAGCCTTAGAAGAAGATCACAATGCATCATATTCGAGAGAAGTACTCCCATTACGCCCAAGTGGCAGAGGCGGTTGCGAGGGGGG